TTTTTTTTTTTTTTCCCTGATTAGTGTTATAATGAAGCTTCTGATATCTTTTTACTGTTTTTATTGCCAAAGCGCAGGCTCTTTTTTTTTTTGTTTTCGTGTCCACTAGATGTTGCGTTCGCACTCGTCTAAAGTGATGTTCTTCTGTAACGACACAGCATTATTATTATTGTTATTATTATTCTCTCAAAAGGAAAAAAAAAAAACATTAACTTGATCTGTGATTATGCTTCTTTTCATATTATCTTTTTTATTATTTTGGGTTTTTTTTTTTTGTAAAGCGAAAAAAAAAAAAGTGCCATTTTGAAATGTGTAGCCCCTTTTGGAGGAGTTTTTTTTTTTTTTTCACACACAATCTGATTTCTCACTGAAAAGGTAAAGAAGGCAAAAAAATAACAATCATACGATGATTTCAGACAGACAGTAATAATAATACCGACGATTCCTTTTTCAGGCTAGTGCTGGTATAGCAGTAGTGAGTGTTTTTGTATCCAGTGTTTTTTGCTAAGAGATGATATACAGAGATATCTATAGAGTTCTAGAATGAGATGGTAAATACATTATGACTAACAGAGTTGAAGCACTTTTTTTTAATGCCGAGCATTAGGCTCTGATGAGGGTAATGTGAGCAGATCCTTTTGCTCTTTTTTTCCAAACACTACTGCCAACGCCGTCTGTTACACTCATTGGCATTATCCTTTGTCGTTGGCGTCACTGTGACATTTGGCATTACCGGAGCACGGTTCTGCGCTACTCAAACGGCACCGCTGCTCCCCAAACTACAAAAAGAAAAGTGCGCTTCACGAGGGAGCGCGGTGCCTCCGTCAGACGTGCTCGTCGTGTGTCTACCTAACGTTGTAATTTAGACAGTATGAGGTGTCCTGTCCCTAAGCCCACTGATGTTACGGCCCCACTTTATTCCCGCCCTTTTTCCAAGCCTTAATGCCCCCCCTCCACTTGAGGAGAGCAGGGGTTGTGTTTTGGTCCAGGCCAGTTATGCTAGTGTTGAAAAGTCTGAGGTTGACACAGTTGTTGACTGAAAGGCTTCATGTTTGAGGGCAGGGTACTCCCTTTATGTGCTTTGTTGTTTTTATTTTCAAATGCTGGTGATTTTATAGAAACCTCCCCCCACTCACCCTGCACATTTAGCGGGTACATCAAGAATGAGAGACAATGTTTTTGCCCAGCAACCCCACGTCTGTGCCTTCTGATCAGTTTTATTTTTTTTTTTTTTTTTTTTTTTTTTTTTTTTGTACATTTTACAGTAAGTAGAGATTTTGACTGAGAGATTGGCGATTTGACAAACGTACAGAGACTCACAGGTATTTAACTATTTTTTAAGAGAGACAAAAAAAAAAAAGAAACATATTTTTACCTCACGATTTAAATACAAACATTCCAATGTTGTCATGGTCTACGAATTGAGAAAAGAAAAGAAAAAAAAAAGAGAAATTCATGCATTTCTTCTTGTATTGTAAATGTTAGACAATTTCATATGCATTATATAAAAGAAAACTGCCATATCAATTTTAATGTATAGATTTTTGCAAATACTACCCTATGTATGTAAGACGTAACTGTATCGGTAGCGTATATATAATATATTTATGCCCAATAAATGTTTTAATTTTTTTTCTGACTTTGTTGGCAACAGTTTGTTTATTGTGTGTGTCATTACTCATCAACACTTCCACAGACTTACAGGACTGTGGCAAAGTTTTCAGAATTTGCCCTCATTACACGACCACAGTGGATCTGAAATGTAGCAGTCATGTGATTGAGGTGTAGAGTTTCAGGGGTTTAACAAAAATATTGCCTTAATTGTTTGGGAATTACAGATTTTACCTTCAGTACCTTCATTTTCAGAGGCCCAAAAATAATTGTACAGTTAATTTATAAGCAGATTCATGACCAGATGTGGCCTTTTCCCCTCATTATTACATGACAACTAATGGAGATAAAAGTCAGGAGTTGATGTTTGCTGTTTGGTAAAGTGAATGTGACCATCATTAGGCTGAAGCAAGAGAACAGACCTATCCAGGAGAATGCAGAAACCCAAAAAGTGGGCAAATCAATCAAGTGGTGCATTTTTAGAAAGCTCTGCAACATGAAAAAGCCTGGAAGACTACGAAAGACAACCACAGAATTTACTTCCTTGGTAAAGAAAGACAGGCTGCAAGGTGGCTCGGTGGTTAGCACTGTTGCCTCGCAGCAAGAAGATCGCCAGTTGGCGTCCCGGTGAGGACACCCGGGATCTTTCCGTGTGGAGTCTCCATGTTCTCCCCGTGCAGCGTGGGTTCTCTCCGGGTTCTCCGGCTTCCTCCCACACAGTCCAAAAACATGTTGAGGTTAATTGGTGATTCTAAATTGTCCGTAGGTGTGAATGTGAGTGTGCTTGGTTGTCTGTCTCTAAGTGTAGCCCTGTGATAGACTGGTTACCTGTCCAGGGTGTCCCCTGCCTTCACCCTGAGTCAGCTGGGATAGACTCCAGCCCCCCATGACCCTAGTGAGGATTAAGTGGTGTATAGATAATGGATGGATGGATGCTAAAGAAAGACCCTTCTTCAACATCTAGCCAAGTCAAGATAACTCTTGGGAAGGTTGTTGTGTCGTTGTCAAAATCTACAAGCAGGAGACGCCTTAATGAATGGACGTACAGAGGGTTTACTCGAAGATACAAACCATTGGTAACTCAAATCCAACATGGAGAACAGACTTTTCTAAAAACCACCCACCTCTAAAACTAAATTCTTCTGACAGATGCAACCGAGGTTAATTTACAACAGAATGATGGGGAAAGAAGAGTACGGAGAAGGAAAGGAGTCATGATCCAGAACAGACCACACCATCCTTCAAACATGGTGGAGGCAGCGTTATGGCAGGATGTCAGTGGAACTGCTGACGCTTATTGATGATGTAACTGTAACAGAAGCAGCAGGATGGATTCTGAAGTGTATACAGCTGGAAGAGCCTATTTTGTTCCTTTTTTTTTTCATTGTTGGTTAAACCTCCCAACACTTGGGGGAGCAGTGCTGCTGGGAGTTAAGCAGACGTGATATGAGCAAGAGGTGATTTGGCACAGGTGTGGCTGACAGGAAGTTGATGCACTCACATGTTTGACAGCATGTACTGGATGATTATTCCTGGAAATAGTGGATATCTTGTCTTTTTTGGACACATCTAACCAATCAGCAATAGTTGTGGCTACATTTGTTTGACAGGGAAAGAGTTGTACGTTCTGCTTAGATACAGGAAAATACTGGATAGGACAGCACTTCACTTCACTGATGCATAAATATCCAAGG